TTGTTGAGTTAATCATACAAGGCATTAGGTCCCCAAACTAGAATTTCCTCCATGACATAAAACACAGCTCCTAGGGTCACCCTCTGTTCACTCTGTGACCCTGAATTCCTTCTCCACATGGTTGGGACCTGAAATCGACATCTGCTAAAGCACTGTGTAAACACGATGGCCTTTTGGTCCCTCTTCCCCAGAGGAGGGGACCACGGATCACTTCTGTGACGGGGCTCGTAGAGGCAGGGCTGGACCGCCTCAGTGGCTGTGGCTTCCAGCCTGGATGGAGCAGGCAGGCCAGCTGTGACACCTCTGCAGCCAGAGGAGCACAGCTGACCCTCCCTGCCACCCGGGGAAACCCATTCCTGCATCCATTAGCACACGTCCTGCCAACCGGAGTCACCCGGGATAAACTTAGCTCCACCTCTTCATCTGACGCTGAGCTTCAGTTATCCACTTGTCCCCAGGCATTATGCCCGGCCTCCGAGGCAGGTCACAGGGCACTAGCCTGGAAAACCACACCACTCCACTGTCCCAGCGCTTTTATCCCAGAAGAAAACTGAGGCGGGGAGGTGAAGCCACCTGCCCGTGGTTACCACCCAGGGCAGGGACTGGCTCTGAGCCCAGGGGGGCAGGGTACTGGCTTGGCATTCCTGACCAACACGCTGTCACCTCATCCAGCCTCACCTATCGCTCCTTCCCAGTGCATTCAAAGGCCACCCGCCCTTCGCCCTATCCCTACCTAATAACTCTCCTTCCCGGGGAAAAACGTCCAGGCATATGGGGCTCCCCAGGGTGGCTATGGGGCCACGGTGCATAGCCAGCTTGTGGCTTCCCCACCCTCCCTGGAGGACAAAGGATCACACTTGATCTTGCTGCCTCCCTGAGCACTTGTCAGCAGTGGGCAGGCTTCCAAAGCACTTCCCCTTCCGAATTCACTCACAACCTGACAACCTGGGGAGTGTAAGGAAGAGGACGGCAGGTGAACCCTGGGCTCTTGTTTCAGGCCCTAGGAGGAGGCACAAGGGAGCATCCTGATCAAGGCCTGGACCAGCCCGGGGCTGTACCTGGCATCCACAATGCACATTGCTGGAAAGATGGCTCAACAATAACTCGGGCTCGCTTATTGCTAAAATCCAGAAAGATCAGGTGGCTTACAGCTAAAACACAGTGTCACAAAGTCCTAATGCAGGGAGGTGACGAAGTAGGGGGATTGGAATCCAAGGCTTGGGGCTCTTCTGCACCACGGGCTCTTTCCATCTAAGACCGGAGTCTCCACAAGGCAACTGCTAACAGAGGTGCTCTAAGAAGCAAAACCCCCACCTTGTTTGAAGTGAATACCCTGGTTCCCATGCACCCCTTCATCAGGCCCCATGGTGCACACGTGTTCACCTGGGCCCCATTCTGCAATTCAGCAGCACCAGGAAGTGGAAGAACCCAGGACTGCTGCCAGCTTCTACCTAAGGAGAAACTTTTAAAGTGAAAGAAAGCCTTGAAACACACTCCCTTTTACCTATTAACGCCTTCCTTGGGCAGAGAACACAACAGGGTGTCAAGCTAGAAGGCATTTTTCTGGCTTCCCCCTTCTGACACCTAGCCACAGAGCAAACCCAGCATAAACCCCAGCACACTGGCTTCCCATCCCTCAAGCCCCATCCATGAGGCCTGTGATCCTGGGTTCTCTACGCACTTCAGTGGAGACTGGTAAAGTGTCAGTAAAGCCGGGGACCCTGAACAGCAAGGTTAAATGTGGGGAGGATGACTCGGAGAGGGTGTACAGAATCACACAAGCACCCCTGGCCTGCTGTGTGTCCTGGACAAACATCTGGTAGGGTCCATAGCTCCCAAATTCTCCTTGGGCCTGTGCATGCCCGGCACAGTGATCCGTGCAGGGGCAGAGGAAAGGTATCAAGTTCAGGACTTCCCTGGTGGTCCAGTGGCTGAGACTCTGCGCTCCCAAAGCAGGGGGCCTGGTTCGATCCCTGGTCAGGGAACTAGATCCCACCTGCCGCAGCTAAGAGTTCACATGCCACAACTACAGATTCCACATGCTGGAATTAAAAGGATTCTGCATGCCGCAACAAAGATCAAGGGTCCTGCATGCCATAGCTGGGGCCCAGTGCAAGCAAATAAATATATATTAAAAAAAAAAAAAAAAAAACCAAGAAGAAAGAAAGAGAGATGTCAGGTTTGGATCTCAAAGATGTGGGGTCCTATCTTGGCCAATACTGGGTCTGAGAAAGAATCTACACATAGGGAGGCTGTGAGAATTCACTGTGATAAATATCAACTCTCCAGCCCAGAGTACAGGGATCGGTGTCATCAATCCATCAACACATCTGTGCCGAGGTCTGGGCACACACATTTTCCTGCCATATTTCAAGATTTGGAAATACAAGTCATAAATGTGATTAGTTTTACAAGTGTCCAGATGAAAGTAACAAAAAAAATAAGATTTCGGATCAGGAGAGTCTGATTTTTACATACCCATAACAAACTCAATGTGTGAAATTCCAAGTTCATGGGGGAAAAAAGAGGCAGATCTCAGATGAACTATGGCAGCTTTTCCCAAATTTTCACTTGTATATGAATCATCTGGGGATCTTGTTAAAATGCAAATTTGTACTCAAGTAATCCAGAATGGGACCTGAGGGTTTGTGAAGGTCCAAGAACTCACTTTTGAGCAGCAAGGTTGTTTGGAATTCTTTAAATTGCAAGAAACAAATCCAAGGAAAATATATGATTTAAAAATGACACCCCAGGAGAACATCCATGAAATAGTATATGGAACCACCCAGGCAAGCACTGTTTCTTAAAGCGAGGCACACCAGGAAAGTAAATGACATTCTTTAAACTGCCCGGAGTTCTTCAAGTTGGCCCTGGGTCTGATTCAAATAAGTCTATACTCCACATCACAATTCATCTAAGCATGTGAAAGTTCTCTCTAGCAATCAGAAAAACAACACACTTCTGACAAAACTCCTGTAAGCAGTGCAGTGTAGGAAACAAAGTGTCCTAGGAGATTTCAAGTTTCTGGCCATGAGAAGAGGCCATGCTCGCTCTTCAAGGCCTTTCTTCAATCTCAATCTCACCGATTTATTTCCTCTCTGCACATTAAATTTGACACGGATTTCTGTTGACAGCTGTAATTTTTTAAAAAGCCTGTCAAGTTGCCAGATACGGATAATTCCAAAGTCATAAGATGAATGCGACTGTCAAGTAAGGAAGCATCACACTGACTCACTCATCTTAAAGTGTGTGTTGGGGGAGGGGATCAATAAAACATCCATGGGGTTCATCTTTATAGGATCAGCAGTTAAATCGGGCTATTTGGAGGATCAGAAATATTAACACACAAGATCGTCTAAAGGAGATTCTTAGAGATGAAGTGTGAGGTCATTTGATCTCCAGCTGTTGCGAGCAGGGGAACACATCTGTCAAGCATGAGACACAGGCTAGTCTGGCACATGGCTTAGAATAATACCTATGTTTATTACCACTCCTGCCCTGACCCACTGGACAAGCTGGGCTCAGGCTCAAACTACAGAGTCATTAGGAGCCAGTGCATGATGTCAAGCCACTGGGAAACTGCTGAGTCTGAGCCACTCGCCCAGAAAGGAAGGGATCCCCCTCCCCTCCTGCCCACTGGCCTGCTATGCTATGGGGAGATGTGAGCCCTGACAAGAAACTCAGGCCCAGATGGTCACCTGTGCCCAGCATCACTAATCACCCGGGGAAATCACAAGGCTGTCTGACAGGTCCACACCCCTGTCTGCAGCCGTGTGCACTCAACTAGGATGCTGCACACCAAACAGGGTCCTGATTTCAACACTTGGGAGGAAAGAGACTCTGGACAAAATTTGGAAGGAGCCTGGTCCATTCATCACCATCTGTCCATTGGGAGAGGAAGTTAAGTTTTCCAACAGACCACCTTCTTAATAGACCAGAAAAAGCCTAAGTGTTCAGAGAAGCATCACAGGAGAGAGGCTGTAACAGAAAAGGTTCTCCTTCCTCATCTCCAGGCCTGCAACAGGCTGGCAAGTTCCCATCCCAGAAGGGGAAACTGAGGCCCCAGGGAGCTGACATAACTGAGCCATAGGAGGCCTTCCTCACTAACTATTCTGGACGTTCCCTCCCAGGAATCAGGCCTGCACTCCCTCCCGTTTGCTCACTCCTGTTCTACCCCCATCCCACCCGCCTGATGCAGACAGAACTGCCCAGGGTGCCTGGAACAAGCTCTAGCCATTTCCTGAATGGGCGAGTGTCCAGCATTTCATGGTTTTGCTAAGATGCTTGAGACCTGGAGATGACTTAAGTTACCAAACACAACCTTTTGAAAGATGAAAAACTTTTCACTCATTTCAGGGAATTCACGTTGGGATGGAAAAAAGAATCCTCAAGCCCTACTTCCTCTCTGTCCCCCACCCTCAAGGCCTCCAAGGGCACATAAGAAGGACTTTCCTTTTCTTAGGAAAGCAAAAGGAAAATGCCAAGTGCTCCTGGGACACTGGAATACTTGGAGCGCAAGCAGAACTTCTCAGAAGGCATTTGCGGCGGCGTGCCTGCGACAAGTTAAGGCTCACACGCGCCGCTCGGCCGGCTGCCGGGCCCACTGCTGGGCTCTACGTCCCGCCTAGTCTTGCCGGGCGCGAGGAGAGTGCTTCTCCGGGTCCGGCCCGGGTTTCTGAAAGCTCGTGCTCTCTTCCTTGCAATGAGAGGTTTTGATGCCACTTTTTTTTGGTGGGCTCCCGCAACCTCTAACTCCAACCCCACTTGCATGAGCACGGTGCTTCTTCTCGGTGAGTGCCGGGCTCGTGCACACACGTGTGAACACACACACACACGCTCCCCAGAGACCTTCCTTCTTCCGCGTGCCCTGGCGGTTTGGAATTCGCGCCAGAAGCCCAGGGATCCGGCAGGGCGCGGGAAGTGGGAGCGCCCGGTGTCCCGCAGCAGAGCGCCGGCCGGGCGGGGTTAGGAGAGGCGCGCGTCGCGTCCTGGCTACTCACCGGGACCTCTGCAGCTGCTCGAAGGCGCTGGAGCCGCTCCCCGGACCCGCCTGCTCCAGCGAACAGTAGTTCTGCGAGGTCTGCCTGGAGAAGGCGATAGGTAGGATTCCCTGAGTGAACGAGTTGAGGCGGCCCCGACTGCCGCTCCCGCCCCCGGGGGTCCCGGAGCTCAGGAAGGCGGCCGCCGGCACGTGCACTCCGGTAAAGGCATCGTCCTCCTCCAGCTCCTCCGGCCCGGCGTCCCCGGGCCCGTCTGGCGGCTGCGGCTGAACGCCGGCGGCGAAAGGCGCGGGCCGGAGCGGCTGCCACTGCTCCCCCGACGCCCGGCCGGCGCCCAGGGGGCTCGCGAACCCCCGGGCAGCCCCGGGGCCGAGCACGGTCGCGTGGCCGCCGGGGACGAGCGGCGGCAGCGGCGAAGGCGGCAGGAGGCAGGGGCCCGATCCAGCCGCCAACGCCGCCGCCGCCGCGCCCGCCGCGGTGAGCGCGCCGCAGCCGCCCCGCTCGGCGGCGGCGAGCAGGCTGAGCCGAGTCCTCGCGCCGCAGCCGCTGCTGGGCTTGGCCGCGCTGCTGTCCTCGCCGCCGGCCCACTCCTCGTCCTGCAGCGGCGGCCGGCCGTCCAGCGAGATGTTGGTGAGGAAGGAGAGGGCAGCCTGGCGGCGCCGCGGGTCCATGCGCGGCTTCCTGGGGGGCTCGGGCGGCGGCAGCGGCGGCTGGGCCGGCACTGCGGCCGCGGGCCGGGGCTGCGGCGGCGGCTGCAATCTGCCGGTGCCCGCGGCGTCGGTGCCGGCGCTGCTGGTGCTGCTGCTGCGGACGGCCGTGCCGGCGGTGGCGGCCGTGGTGGCGGCAGTCGCCGCCATTGTGTCCGTCTGCGGCGAGATTTCCGCGATGCCCCCGGAGAAGCGAGCGGCGCCCGAGTGCTAAGCGGCGGGCGCGAGCGCCGGTGACCCGGGCTGGGCAGGGCGCGGGGCGCGGGCGGCGTGCGCGGCGGCCCGGCCCCCCAGCGGGCGGGCCATGCTCGCCCCTCGGTGCTCGGGCGGGGGGCGCCGCCGCCCCGGCCCACGCGCGCGGCTGCTGGCTGGCTCGCTGGCCGTCTGCCCGCCCGCCTGCGGGATCGGTGCTGGGCCCTCCGGGACCCCGCGATCTCCGGCTCCCCGGCCCCCGGGTCGGTATTTATAGGTGCGCGCGCCCCGCGCTCGCTCTGCGAAACGCTCTGTGCAAAAAAAAAAAAAAAAAAAAACAGTATCACGTGTGGGGGGTGAAACCTGGGAGGAAAACAAAGCCGCAGGCGGCAGCCGCGCAGGCAGCCGGCGGGAGGCGGGGGGCCAGCGGAGGAGGAAGAGGAGGAGGAAGGGAAAACCGAGCGGGTGGCGGGGCGGGGATCGGCCTGACGGTCCAGGTAGTCCGAGCTGACTGCGGGGAGAGTTGGTGGCTCCCTGCCAGGGCGCGCGCCCAGGTGCGGGAGGCGAGCACGCTTCCCCGTCGCGCTTGGGCTGGGAATTGCGGGGCGCGAGCAGAGCTCCGAGTCACGCGTGAGGATATGGTCCCGGGAGGGTTGTGGGTCTGCGGGACGAGTCACTGTAATTGAAGCGATTTGGCCCGCGAACTTGTTAACTGGATCCCGCGCTGCCCTTCTTGGGCCCCGAAGTCCTTATTAATAGTTACACTCGTAGGGCCACACCCCTTTATGTGGACAGTCCCACCAGCAAGCGGTCGCTGACCGTTGAGTTTGAGTCTCATTCATTTGCAGGCGGAGGACGCAGCTCCTGTTATAAATACACACCCCGGGGTGCACAAGAACCCCAAACAGATGTTTAGAGCTTCCAGTGTCTTCTATTAAATAAGTACCTGTACAAGGATGCAGTGACCCTTCCAGAGCTGTAACGAGGATCTGGGAGGGGTCGCAGTATGCTGTACCCCAGCCCCACCGCCAACAACCTTCTGTTCTGGGGTGAGGGGGCTTTACCGTGAACCATCTGAAAATGCCTGCAGATTTCCCTCTGCGGTTTGGGTGACTTATCAAAGGCAGTAGGAACAGTTGTCACACTGACTTGAGTTCTCTGACATCTAAGAAACCTCTCTACACTTTCCTGAGGGAGAAGCAATGTGTTTAAGATCAAGTGATTAATTTAATTAAAGGTTTAAATTTAGCCTTGTAGCTAACTCTACATTGAAATTCCACTCCATTTCAAGTTCAGGAGAGTAAATTGAGTAATGCAGAGCAAATACACCCTTCCAGATACATGCAGCCAGCCTGGAGGAGGCGATATGGGAGGAGGAGGAGTTCAGGTTACAGTGGCTTAGGCCAAACTTGGCACATGGCCCTTTACATGAACAATTGTTCATTTTTAATTTTATGCCATTTTTAGGCCTTTTGAAAAAGTGGAACCAAGAGTCTAGAGCAGCCTTATTGCAGCTAAGTGACCAGCTCTGTGTAATTTCATTAGGATTTTAATTACTCTGTTTAACTTCTTGAAACTCCCAAGTTACTCTATTACAACTAACTTAATTTACTTGACCACTGTTCTGGTTGTGCTGGCAAGCAGTGTTTAAAAAAACCACCTCCACTGCACATATAAAAGAAAAACTTTTTAAATCACAAAAGTGATATATATTAATTGCAGAACATTTACAGAATAAGATAAGCAAAGAAAAGTAGGGGGAAAAAAGCGTCATTAACAATCTCATCTCATATGGAAATAACCATTACAATTTTGATTTCTGTCCTGTGTTTATTAAACAAGTTAAAGCTGGCTGTTTGTGTCTTGTGATCTTTTCTTGATGTGTTTCAATTATCCTCCTTTTTAGAATATTTTTCTATAGCATCATTTTATTTATTTTTTTAATATAGCATCATTTTAGTAACTGCACAGTGTTCAATTTGATGGAGAAACTATAATTATTAAGCCTGTACCCTACATTGAATATTTAGGTTGTTTCCCTTTTGCTGTTATAAAGATTGATGATGACATCCTCTATTTTTCTAAATCTTGCTACTTATCCAGTATTATTTTCTTAGGATAAATAGATGCTGGGGCAAGGGCCAGATCATGTTTTAAGGCTTTCTATCCAGAAAAATTGCTACAACCTGCTTCCTCACTCTTGCCAGCATTGGGTATTAAATTTTTTCACCAATATTCATTTATTTGCCCACTTAGGCTATTTTAAGGGTTAAATATGCAAACTAATATCAATTATTTAGTAGGCATCAAACAAGAATCAACTGGTTCTGTGATCTTATGGCGATCAGGAGAGATACAATTTATTGTTCACCTACTATGTGCTGGGCTTCCCTGGTGGCTCAGATGGTTAAGAATCTGCCTGCAATGTGAGAGACCGGGGTTCAATCCCTGGGTCAGGAGGACCCTTGGAAAATGGACTGGTTACCCACTGCAGTATTCTTGCTTGGAGAATCCCACAGAGAGAGGAGCCTGGTGGGCTACAGTTCATGGGGTCGCAAGGAGTTGGACACGACTGGGCAACTAACACTTACTTACTTTACTATTGCTAGCCACAGAATATTTCTAATTCATATGCTTATGACCATGCTGCAATGGGGCGAGAGGGGTTATCATCAATAGTTTGCAAATGAGGCTCAAAAAAATTAAACAATTAGCCCAAGGTCAGTAGCTCTTAAAGAGCCCAGAGGAACTGGGTGGAGAGGGAGGTGGGAGGGAGGATCGGGATGGGGAATACATGTAAATCCATGGTTGATTCATGTCAATGTATGACAAAAACCACTACAATATTGCAAAGTAATTAGCCTCCAACTAATAAAAAAAAAAAAAAAGAGGCTGGGCCAGGATGCAAATTTTACTCCAAGACCCATGCATATTCTTACGCCCTCTGCTGGTGAGCATGTTTTCTAGGGGTGTGCTGTCTGTATATTTAATTTCATATTCTTACTGAAGGTCAGCTATAATGGCACTAAAACAAGCTTTGGAGGAAGGGATCCGGGTGTCAAGAGCAAGTCTCTAATCAACTTCTATGTGCATAGCACCGTCCTGCTACAAAACGGATAAAAAGAAGTATAGCTTTTAACCCTTGTGCCCTTGACACTGGAAGTAGTGAAAACCAAAAGCTCAGGACACATTGAAGTAAAATTGTAAAATGGACTCTGGTTAAGTGATCAAATGAGCAATCTGACTGGACTGTCTATACATGTTATCATATTGTGAAGAAGTAGTTTTTATTTGAGGGGAGGCCTCAGGTAAGAGCCAGGATTTAAGCTGACCTGGGAAATGAAGGAAGGAAGGAGAAGTTCAGTTCAGGAAGAGAAAATTCTGCAAATTCCTCATAGACTGCAAGCACAAAAAACTAGAACTTGAAGTCTAATTCTTTCTGGTTTGCCAAGGTTTTTTTTTTTTTCATTTACTTTCATGTTGCCCCTTCCAAGCACCCATTCTGAAAACTGTAACTGCATGCACAAAGTGTTTTGATTGACATATATGGGAGTCAATTAAAAAAGAAAAGGAACCTATTAATACAAGTAATCACTGACCCTTTAAAAAAAAATAATCCAGCAGACCAAAAAGTCTGAAAATTTGCTTTGAGATGACTGTGTTAAGAAAATACATTTCAGATGCTTCCCCGAGGTGTCCTCAGTCTTCCAAAAGGAGATTGTTCATGCCCATTTTGCTACCTACAGTTGCAGAATTTTTATGATATTGGTGTTTTTAAAAAAAAATCAATGAATTTTCTTTGTATTACTTTGATACTTGAATTATAGCAAACTTGATTTTATTTTGTTTGAAATTAACCTGTTTTTAAAAAATTATACTGATTATGCATGAATAAGCATGTCATGTACAAAGAAGGGGCTTCCCCAGTGGCTCATGGGTAAAGAATCCACCTGCAATGCAGGAGATGCAGGAGACAATCCCTTGGTGGGGAAGATCCCCTATGGCAACCCACTCTGTTATTCTTGCCTGGAGAATCCCGTGGACAGAGGAGCCTGATGGGCTACAGTCCATTGGGTCGCAAAGAGTTGGACACGACTGAAGCGACCGAGCATGCACACATGTACAAAGAAAGCACTTCTCATGTAATTATAACTCCTGAACATGCAAATTACATATGGTGCCAGCTTCCAGATGAAGTCTCCTCTAGACTGCGCACAGAACAACAGGCCTAGAAGGCTCTGTGTCTCCCAGTATAAAAGCATTATTTTACAGCATTTGTGTTTGCTCAGGTCAGTCTCACATCAGAGTGGGATGAATGTGGCCAGATTCTGAGGGAAACATCACCTCTTTGCTGCTGGGAAGATCAGCTGGGCTAATTAGTGGTCCATAGTAACCTTCACTGATAGGTGGGCAAACTACATGAAGAGATGGCTCAGAGCAACTGAAATGCAAATGCCTACCAAGCATTTGAAAGAAGAAGAAATGAGTGATGGACCTTCTTATTGGAACAACCTTTGTGGAAAGTCATTTGGTAAAGGTATCATGAGCCTTAAGAAAATCGTGCTTGAGAGCTTGGGCTTGGGAGTCTCACTGCCTGGGTTAAATTTGGGGCCCACTCTCACAGTTTTGAGAACATTGAGTATGCTATGCTTTGTGCTTCAGTTCTGTCACCCATGAAATGGGAATGGTAATATCTACTTTGTATATTGATAGCATTGTTACCAGGATTCAGTGCTGTAATGGTGCAGTTAATGCATGGAAAAGGTAACCACTCAAGAAATGTAGTTACTATAATAATTCTCAGGAGCTATTGTGAAACAAGGTCAAACATGTATGCACAAAAATATTCATCACAGCATTGTTTAAAGAAAACTTGGAAAAAGGAAACCCTAAATGTGGAGCAATGGAAAAACTAAGTAAAAAATGGTTTTCTCAAACAATGGGATATTGTGCTTCTA